ACATATATATAAATATATATATCTAAAAACACACATACAAAAACACAGCACTCATATACTTCTCCACTCATGCACTCACCTACACCACTGATCCCACTGATTTTATATACTACAGTTAGTTTAGTTTAATTATTTTAATTATTCACCCTATACTGACACTGTTCAGTGTGCCAGGCCCCTTCAACTTTGACGTTATATGAGCATAGGTAGGATGTGTAGATATCCAGCCTCCCACTGGTCTCTGTGCACATTCCACCAGGGGTCTAGCATTGTCATGGGCTCTCTTTAAAGTAGTTTTCATTTAAAAGATTTATGCAGCTGCATGCTGGGCCTCGGCCATCACATTTGCTAGATTTAACAGGTAAGATGTCATGGCTCCAACTCTGGCACATCAAGTCCTCAGTGTGGGCTCTTCTCAGAGCTGGCTACTCCCCTGTGAAGTGATACTGGGGCAGTTGTCTTCTTTACAGGGATGTCTGGCCTGGTCTATTATATAGGAGGAGGATCCCACCCCCTCCTGGCATAGACATCACTTGTAGTGTTATTTGAGCTTCTGATGAGGTCACGCAGGAGGCGTTCCCATAGTGAGACTCACGTTAATCAGACAACAGGGGTTATATTCATAACCTTAAGTTACTGAAAACAGTGTGACAGTATATAATTTAATCGGGTGAGTTATATAAAACGTCACCCTTCATACAGTTGTCATGAACGGAGAAATTAGCTGACCAAATTAGAGACCAAAAGCATTTTTGTACCACCCTGTGAACATTTTTATTTCTGCTGTATGGGCATTTTAATATTGGGCCTTATGGAGATTGACTCACTCCTTTAGCCAGCCTTCAGTGGCCGTTAGAGGAAGTGCAGCTTTTCTAAGTTCCGCGTTGGCTTTATTTGCAGCCACAGAGGTTGCAGCTTGTATAAAACCTGTTCATGGTGTAAATAATAAGCAAATTCAGTTTTGCATCCATGTTTTACAACTTTATGCAGCGACTTCCAGTCTTATAAACCCATAGACAGAAACACACACATACTAACTATGCAAAGATAATTTCATAGATACAGGAGAAATCATTTTTTCTGCAGCACAAAGCAGTTTTGGCAAAGTTTTCAAAAACATGAAGAACCATGAGCGTGTGGCCACCCTGGTGGGCTCCTGCTTTGTGTCAGAAGAAAAGCCATCAAGTTACAAAGCTACTATAAGTGACTTCCTACCAGCTGTGAGGTTTCAAATATAGACTGAAGTGGAAAACCCTGATCTGTGGGCTCCTGTTCACTGGGACGTAGCTACTGCTTGTATCCTGGTATAGTGAAATACCTTTATTGGTTCCTCTAACCTTTAAGATCTCAACCTACTAAAACAGTCTGGTGGTTACAACATCTTATTAGCCCAAAGAGAAATCTGTCTAATCAATACAGCAGTAATATACAATATATTATAGTTGCAATTTAATGTAATGTAATGCATGATTATATATAATTTAATGTGATGCCTGTACCACACCACGCTACATAGCATGTTTGAAATAACTGCATTATATTCCAGCAATTGTATTTTGCAATGTCATCAAAGCAAGGAAGGGTGTGGCTGCAGAGTGCTCAGTGTCAATGTCACATTATGTGTGCCCTGACTTTATTCTCTCAGGAGATATTCCTCTAATCTACACAGCCAGTTCTTCAGCAGCTCTCACACCACCTAACCTGACCATGACCTATGTCTAACCTCAACAACCCATAACCTCAAGGATTTGATAGGTAGAGCTTTTTGCAAGTGTACACAGTCTGGGAGTGTGGGAGTGTGCGGTGCCTGTAAGACTGAGGTGAGGGGAAAGTCTGTCCACTAAATGTTGAGCACCAGCTGCATCAAGTTAGAGGCAGTTACTGGATCTGTATGCGAACACAGTTACTTCCATCCGTACCTTCACAGTAAGTGTAAAAACTTACTCGTACATGGCTGCTACTAAATATGAAAATATATTTTATTTACCTTGGTGTTACAAATGGTATTAATTGATACTAGTGAGAACGCACATTTGATCGGTGACTGGTCCAAAGTGTTAATTGAAACTGCAATTAATCAACAATTTTCCAAAAACATCCTGCAGCTTCCTGTTAAAATTCTGAAACTCAACTCAAATATTAGGGACAAAACACTTCCTCTTCAGATGGATGTTAGATTTAAATAATACGCTGTTAAAATGGTATTAATACTATACTATACTATCAATGCAGTGGAGACTGAAGCTGGAGGTCCAGACGGATGAAACATCATCAGACTAGGCCCAGAGAGAAAATGGCATTTAGAGGCCGCTTTTTCAGTTGTTCTTCTTCTTATGTCCATTTGTAGGTTAAACATCCATACAGGACAATTTACAAAATTATATTTTCATGGAAGTGGCACAACCTAAAACAAAAATATCACTGTTATCAGAATCAGAATCAGAAATACTATAAATGCAAACTGGAACTATTCATGGTGACGATACATTTGTATTTGTCAAAGATACAGAAAGTAGGCAGAAAATTACAGACTAGATCTCTGGCAGAAGCGCCCTTTCTATGTTGGGGCCCCTAGTTAGTTAGTTCCACTATTCCCTCCACAACTTCTGAATGACTGCTTTGAGATTAACATAAAGGTGAATGACAGATATAAGTCATTGATAGTAATTATGTACATATTGTGTACCCTATTTTTACATTTAATTAATCTTAATAAATGATAATTTAAGTCATTTATTAGGTTTAATATTTGCTAGATGTAGGACAAGGAAAGCGATTGTAAGATTTTTAATAATGTCTGTATTTTTGTTAACTAAATGATTACCACTAAAATATAACTTTAAAGCCCCCTCCAGCCAAAGATTTGTTGAGTTTGACACTAGAAGGATGTTTTCACATTCATCTGCTGAATGCGGAAAGTTTCTCTGTGCTCATTGACATAGCATCTCAAAATAATGACTTTGTGATACTATAATAAATACTGAGAATTTTTCTCATTATTTTGAAACACTAAGTCATTATTTTTCCCTGTCACACTGGCAGAAATGGGCTCCCGTAGAGAATGGACTTTACAGTGAAGTAAGAATTTTTAATGAGGTAGAAGGAGTAGATGCTCTTTTTAAAGGATTTTAATTTGTAAATTATATTTCTTTCCGGGAAAAATATATCAGACACACATTACTGTCCCAAGCTGAATGTTTGTATTATGTCTTGATACGTGGATCCTTAAATAAACTTTGTGCTTTTTATTTTGAAGCCCGGGGCCGGAAGCTGTGTTGCACACCCTGTCTTACTTGACGCTTGCATGAACAGTAGTGTGTTGGGTTGCAGGGGTGTCGCAGTTTGATTCAGAACAATTTCGTAATTCATCAGCATCTCTGAAGAAGGAAGTGCAGCCATGGCCCAGGGACTTAAGGAAAGATTCGAAAAGTTTCTCCATGAAAAGAACCTCATGACAGATGTTCTGGCCAAAGTCGAGGCCAGAACCGGAGTGAGCAGGACGTACCTCGCTCTGGGTGAGTGTTGACACCGACGGGGATGGAAAAAGAGGAAACATCGGGTGTGTGACAAGAGAGGTATAGAGGTGGGAGTTAGCGTGGCAGAGGAAGCTGAGTTTACTTTGAACTTAAGAGGTGACATATGGCTTTAATCAGTGCTGTAGTCAGCATCAGCTGTACATATTTATTGTAAGTAGCAGAGCAATATAATGTGTTCAATAGGAAGTGGATTTGTGACCAAAGGCGTGACAAACATATGGTGTCTTTATTCCAGCTGTCGTCGGTATCATCGCAGTCTACTTGGTCATCGGTTACGGAGCCTCCCTACTGTGTAACCTCATCGGCTTTCTGTACCCAGCATACATATCGTAAGTGTATTATTCTTAGAGCAGGATGGGGCCTGCCCTGCCCAGAGCACCCCCACCTAACACACACACACATACACACACCTAACCTATTGGTTTAAAATATTGTTGTTGTTGTTGTTGTTGTTGTTATTATTATTATATTTTAGCTTATTTTTCCTCTATTACAGCCACTTACTATCAGACCTAATGTGGCCTGGCCCAAACCTCTCTTTCCCAGGGCCCGTTTAAAGTCAATGATATTATCTAAATTAAAAAGCAGACAACGCCACCTAGGTTTAATATGGAGCCTAGGACTCCTGAAAACACAGGTTCTTTTAAAATCGGGGGGAGCAGAGTTAAAAAACCATCAGGAGAATAAAAGTCATTTAAAAGGGTTTATTATAATAAAAAAATGGTTATCAAACGTGTGAAGTTTCATTGAGATTGGACCATGTACACTGAAGTTGTGAGGACGTGTTCAGGGTGGGACTGTACACTGAAGATAGGAG